CACATAAGGTTCGTTACAGCGCTAAGCCGAATCATCTTTGGAAATCGTGTGGCACAGTAGGGAAGCAAGTACTGTTATGAATGTCTGAAATTTCATGATTATGGAGGTTGACTGTAAGGATATGACGTGGTCTGCTGTGTGCTTTTTTTAATCTTTGAAATGAGCCAGAACTGAACCGCACCGAGCCCTACTGTTGAACTAGTACCAGTTTAGCACTGTTCGGTTGTGCCTGGCACGGTCCGGTTCAGTTTTGTGTGTCATTTACAGCTTAGACCCTGAGAAAGCATTTGATCAAGTCAACTGGGTGTTTCTAAGACAGACAAATAGCAATGGGCTTTGGGAAAGAATTTGGGCGTGGATCAATCTACTGTATAAACAGCTCAGCACCAAAGTTAGTTAATCGTCCGAATTTTAAGGATTGTGCGAGGTGCGTGTCACCTATCTTATTTGCCCCAAGTATTAAACTTCTAGCAGAGGCTATTTGTCTAAATGTACAGATTTAAGGGATATCAGATGAAGGGGGTCAATCCACAAGAAAGATCTGTTCATGGACAATATTTCACATATCAAATCCACTGCTTTCCATCCTGGCATTCATGAAACGCCTGTATGAATATGGGTCAGTGTCTGAATACAAAATAAATGAGACTGATTCAGAAGCCATGATGATATGAAGTGCCTGGCCTATATAGCTAAACAACTGTGTCTCCTTTCGCTGGTCCAAACAAGGATTTATATATCTGAGAACCATTATCACACCTAACCCCACTCATCTGTTCGAGGCCAATTACAGCAAATTAATTAGACAAATAAAAAAAATGACGTGACACGCTGGTAGGTCCTCCCTCTTTCTTTAATGGGTAGAATGACAAAAACAAATTGAACCTGTTGCCTGAACTTCTTATTTTGTTTTAGCCCCTTCCTGTAAAAGTACCTGCTTCCACTTTAAACATGTTAGTCAAACTAATCTCAACATCTGTCTGGCAAGGTGAGAGACCAAGGGTAAGATTGAAATGACTTAGATTACCTAACAACAGAGGAGGAGTCTCTGTGGTTGGAAAATTTTGTTTCTGTTATTTTATATATTCATTTATCCTATTTACTCACTCTAAAAGTTTTCACTCAGAATGTTTCACCTGCAAGGCCACACAATTCCCCAGTGCGAGGGTGTTTGTAGACCTGACAAGCCAGATTGTTTCTCAAGGATTATTTATAACATGTTACTGTTTAACCAAAGTGTCTGTAATTTGTTTTTACTCTGACTACTTTCCATCTATTGTAAGTAAGGGGAGCATACTCTGCCCAGGCAGAACAGGGCTAAATACCAAGCAGTAAGGGCTGTATGATGAACTGTTCTCTCTTTGCAAAGAAATAAAAAAATAAGGTGCCGACTTACTGAAATCCCTGTACTGTACAATCAACCAACTCTTTCTAGGAACAGAATTCAAATCATTCTCTCAACAACAATTTAACCTCCAGTCAAATAGATACCTTCAGGTAAGACATGATGTCACAATTCATAAAGAAAGAGATTTGGTCAGAAAAAAAAAAAAAAATGAAATAAAAGAGCACTTTATTAGCGTTATAGAGAGACATTTCCCAACAAAAAAACCACTTATCAAATAAATAAAAAAGGCATTTTAGAAACCTTAAACTACATCAAGGAAAACATGGGAATTAGAATTAAATATAATTGAAGATTCTACATGAGTGGGCATATAGAGATTGTCAAATGGGAATTAGCAGCGAACTATGGAAAGAAATTGAATGGGAAATCAGGTACTTTAATACTCCCTTTATTACCTTCAAATCTTAAAAAAAAATCCCAATGTAGCATTATAATAGCGAAATTCTGGAGACACCGCATACATCTTTTGGGATTGCACAGCAATATGAAGAAATTGGGGAAATATTAAAAAGAAAATAGATCTGATATCGAAAGTAAATAATATTATAATCAAGACTTTGTTAAGCATGTTTATTGTGATGTCTCTTACTTGAATTTCTGTCAGGAAATGTTATGTAAATTATTAAAAAATTGTTAAAAAAAGAATAACAATCCCTTCCAAAACATTAGAATGTACAATATGGAAACTAACAATTTCATGCTTAAGACAAGATTTTCGTTTCACTCACTTACCACACTATTTGGAGCCACAAGCAAAAACCTGATATATTAACATTAAACAGGTGGATATGTCTTAATCCATTATCATGTAGATCTCGTTTTATTCATATTCCTGTAGGTTACTCTATTTTTCCATGAGGAGCTTTCAAATATTTTTTGAGAAGTATGTGTTTCAACATTTGTGTCACATGCGGCTCTGCTGATTAGTTTCTTTCTCTCCCTTTTGTCATTTTGTGTCTGGCTCAGTTGTTTTTTGAAATGGAGCCTAGGCCGATGTTCAACTGAAGAAACTGCTCTCCTTCATCCACCTACGACACAGCCAATCAGCTTTGAATTACACACCTCCACGAAAGCCAATCGGCATCCAAAGCTCATCTTAAAGGGCCTCCGATCCGCAACTTGTCTGCTGCCTGGTTGTGCTGTATGACTTCATTCAGATGACCCCGCTTCAACAAATCCTTAATTTCGTCAACTAGGACGAAATTAATTGCATCCTAGTTAATTAATTAATCAATTGCCTCGCTTATTTCAACCTCTTCCTCTGCAACCTTCTTTGTCAAGTGTAGCAGCCTTTGTTCTACCTTGCCAGCAGCTAAGCTAGTAGCTCAATTTGTGTTTTGACCAGCCTTTTTTGTGATTTTTACAAGTTGCTCAAACTCATTGTGCAGTAATGCATTCAATTATTTTTTTTGACTTAATTTCCCTGAGTTCGGTCCTGCATTTGAGTCCTCTTTTGTTGCCCAAGGTAATTTGTTAATGCAATACATGATGTTTTCCCCTATGTTCAGAGTGCAGCTGTCACTACTGCTGTACAGTAACTAATTCCTTAGATTCAGAATGACCTATTTTTAGTCAGTATAAATAAATATGTGTGACTAAGGTAAACATACAAATAACTTGTATGATAAAAACGTTTTGCTTGACATATTCTTTTAATTACTGACAATTGATTGGAAACAATTAATTGTATCTTGGACCAATCTGGAGTAAATATGCCAATTCATTTTACTTAAGCAATAGGTAATGATTATACTGTGTACAAATGACAAAATGCTAGATTTGGAGAAGACAACGGTTCAAGCCAACAGGCTGAAACATTGCTTTGCCAGTGCTGTACATGCTGTAGTTTCCAGACAGCAGTTCACCCCAAAGACAAAGCAGATGATGGATCAGAGAATGAATGAATGAATGGAGTTTTTGACTCTGAGGTAGACAAAAAGACATTTTTGATTTAAAACAAGATCTACAATGAAGATTGTCTCTTTTTGATTCCATGCAGTTTTGGGTCTTTTTTTGTAGGTTTTTTCTTTTACCTCTTTTTATCTGCCGGCTTCCGTAGAATCGTGAGCGCGCATGGGGGCGCTATTAGGAAATCCTATACACTACTGTTTATGCTCTAAAAACATTCTAAATGACTTCGTTTCGAGTAAATTCTGGATGCTACCCACTCAGGACACTTGGATTACATTGGACGAGCAGTATGGAGGAATATTGACACGTTTTTGTGGACTTTTATGGACCTTTCTGTCTCGGGCGCCATGGACCTCCATTATTTGAATGTCAGCAGACAGCAAGAAGCCTCCCAGATCTCCAGATGCATTTGAGATATCAAAAAAGTACTCCAGAGTGTTGTTCAGCATGGAGGTGAGTAGAAAATGAAGGCTAATCATGTTTTGGGTGTACTATTCCTTTAAAATCGGGTAAGGAGAACCCACCATCCATCGCCGGCTTACATAAGTGTTTTTTGTAAATTCTGACTCTTTTATAGCCCCAAATAAAGGGAATAATAATAGAATCTAATTTTCTGAAGAAGGATACACCTATAAAACATGGGACAGATTGAAATAAATGAAGGAAACGCGGTAATACCACCAATATTCTGCTTGAGTTGAAGAATTTTACTTTGCCAATTCAGCCTTAAAAGATCTTCTGTTTTTTTTGTTACCAACACGCCCAAATATGTAAAGGATTCATAAGCTATCTTAAATGATGTGGACGTCAAATATACCAAATCAGCATCTGTGGTAAGCGGCAATAGCTCACTTTTGTCCCAATTAATAGAGAAACCTGAGAAACTGCCAAAACTGTTGATCAGTGTCAAAAGATGAGACAGCGATTTACGTGGGTTAGAGACATACAAAAGTATATCATCCGCATACAGCGAAATATGATGCTTACAATTAAATATCTCAATAGGGGAAATTGAGGGGTTTTGTCTTATGCTGGCGGCCAGAGGTTCAATGATGATTGAGAAGAGAAATGGGGAGAGGGGGCAGCCTTGACGTGTACCGCGATGAATAGCAAAGGGACAGGAGATATTCTGATTAGTAATGACGGAAGCAGTTGGGTGTGAATAAATTATTTCAATCCATTCTGTAAACATGGGTCCAAAACCAAATTTTTTGAGAGCATACATCATATAAGGCCATTCTACTTGGTCAAATGCACGTTGTGCGTCTAACGAGATAAAAATGGACTCATTTGAATGATTTGAATATAGAATATTGAAAAGACGCCGCAGGTTAAAAAACATATGCCTACCTGGCATAAAGCCAGTCTGATCCGGGTGGACGATTAAACCATTGTGTTCTTTGAGTCTATTGTCTAGAATTTTCCCAAGAATTTTGGTTTCTAGAGGTAACAATGAAATTGGGCGGTAGGATATTCTGCCGGCGTGAGCGCGCCTCCAAATCCTCCAGCTTTGCTTGCTGTAGTGAGCATTGAGCTGCCAGACTGTCGTAACTTTTCTGTAGCTCCGTCTATCCTGTGACCCAACTGCGGCCTCAGTTGATGTCACACGGTCACAAATATCCGAAAGCGCCGCTTTGAGACTGGAAATTGATCCGTTGAGCTCAGTAAACCTCGTGTCTACCGTGCTGCTAAGCTTACTTATAGCTGACAGAACGTCCTCATTGGTGGCCGATGGACCTGGAGTGCACATGGGGGTTGTGTTAGCCTTAGCCACTTCCAGGCTTGCTAGTTTGGTCCGGTCGTCCAAAGTTTCCTCCCCCGAGCCTTTGTCTTTCTTATTAAGTTTGGGCTTGGTCGTTCTGTTCATAGTGTGATGGTGCACTATGAATATGCTAGGCAGAAGTTTAAATATTATTATTTAGGTTGAGAAAATAGTGGAGTTAAGTCGGAGCTCCCTCAAAACACGTCTACTCCATGTTGAGACCTAGGCCACCCCCCAACTAAACTCTTTTTTATATGTAACTTGAGTTCAGTTTTAGAGTACTTTAGTTACCTGATCATAAGCTAAAATTTACTTTTTAAAGCCAAACTTTTAGTATATTGATTTATTTTTCCATTTATTTTTGTCCACATAATTGATAAGCTACTTTTATGGTCACAAAGAGGAACTGTGATGGGGAATATTCCTTTTAGAACTGCAATGTGAGCTTATTTTTGTTGGGATCTGGAGGCTTTGTCTACCTTCTCCACAAGAGGGCGCCTGAGATCTTCTTCCTGAGGGCATGAGACTCCTTCTACACACCTGTTTCCTGCCTGCTCATCAGGAGACCTATTTAAAGCTGCAGTCTGTAACATTGAGAAGAGAGCAGACTTCGACTGAAAATTTGAAGAAAAACAGGTTTCACGCCACTCCTGCACCCTCTCTGCTTCACTCATGCCCCACCTCCAAGCTCCCCCCCTCTCACAGCATCTGCGCGGCTACCGCATGCGACCAGAAGCGTCCAAGCAGCGTACGCGGCATGGAGTGTGAACCGGTAAGAGCGATAACACTCACCTCCAAGCAGCTAGATATAAGATGCTGGTTATACCAAAGTTTGCCGTGTAAGCAGTTGTCGGCAGGGGCAGTAAGGGCAGTTTCTCTTTCGCTGGTGGCTGTCGCTCCGCCATGACTTCCACGCGCGTCCTCCTGACTGCGGCAGCGGCAGGTTAAGCGGTGAGGGGGTGGGGGTGGGGGCGGGGGCGGGGTGGTAATCAGCGTGTGTGAGCTGTGGTTGACACTCCATCAGACGCTCCTCTGGCTGTGATTGGTTGTTTTGACTCGTCCCGAATTATTCTTTCCAGATTGAAATACAGGCAGTATGCGGGACCAATTGAAGCAGTTTTTTTCACAGGTTACATATCACATGTACTGCTGTCTGGGCATAGGGACAGTTTTAGCCAATATGACAAAAAAGTGATTTTTAAAAACTTACAGACTTCAGCTTTAAGGAGGAAGAGGCTGACACTTCCCGGCCAGAGTGTTTGCCAGTAATGGTATTGCAAGACCTGAGCCAACCTACCTGATCAGAAACCCTGATTTTGTGAACCTTTCTGATCCTGTTTCTCTCTGCCTCACAGATCCTAACCTTTCTGAAATGTGGGTTAGACACCAATTTTTGTTTTGTTTAAAGTTTAACGTCTTCCCTCAAGCAGAACACTGGTTAGACAAGACTAGGTCAGAATCTTAACTGACACATTTGAAGCTGTTTTTCAGTGTTAGATGTTTTGGTAATTGAATGTTCTGTGGAAAACTGGCTTAGTGAGAAACCCTCCCTGTTCTTTTATTTCTTAAGTAGTGGAATCCTTTATCTGATCAGAATAGACAGAACATTGGCAAAGATTGGGTATTCTCTTCCTTACAAGGATTGATGAATGCTGCTTGATGAAGAACACAATCTAATTTCTTATTAACATAAGACCTTATTTTTGCTGATAACAAAGTGGTAAAAATAAATACAGTCAAAATGGATGCATCAAGGCAGAGATGGGGACTCGAGTTTGTGACTCGTACTCAAGTCACACTTAAGTCGCATATTTAATTACTTCAGACTCGACTTAGACTGGTGATTTCTGACTTGTGAACTATATTTTATTTCTAAGTGTTTTTTGTTTTACTAACTTGACTGATCGCCGTTCACCTTACCCGCACACAGAAGAGGTAAAAAAAAAAAAAAAAAAACGGCAGACGGGCTGTCAAACTGTCACGTAGCACTGATGTCACTGACGCAACGCTACGTGACATATATGCCCTTGGGCCATACGCATGCATGTATGCAACCCATACAGATAGGGAGGCGATGATTAGCCCCCCTGTTTCGGTCCCACCGTTCATAATAACCTTTGGCTACAAAAACTTTACATAAGGCTAGAATAAAAGAGCAGCAAACTGCAGCTTCTTTTGAAAAAAATACACGATGCTGGGTCCACCCCATCTAATTTTATCAGCCACAGTGCAGTGCAGGTGTACAGCCAGGGGCATCACAGACTGGGCTTGTCTTTGATCGACAAGCCCAGCTTTAAAAACTTCATGGCAGTGGTAGAGGAGAAATATGTTGTGAATAATGTTGTGAATTAGTGCTAAATAAATAAACTGAATTGAAAATTGTTGGGATCCAAAGGTTTGCCCTCCAGAGGGCTGTTTGGATCCCTTCCTGAGGGCTTCTTTTCCTGTTGGGATCCAGAGGTTGCCCACCAGAGGGCGCTGTGGATCCTCCTGGGAGCTGGTTTTCAGCACTCAGCTGATTCCAATCAGCTCTGCTGATTAACCTCTCACTATATAAACTGTTTGAAAGCTTCACTCTGAGCCGGATCGTGGTCATTGTCCTTGTCCTTGCCATGGAAGCACTCCAGAGTCTCTTGCCTGTTTAAACCTGCCTATCTGAGTCTGCAAACCTGTGAGTTTCAGTTTGTTTATTTTTCCCTGAGTTTAACCTGTGCTCTGTCTCCTCTGCCTTCCAGGGCAGAACCCTGTGCTCATCCAAATAAACATTGGACTTTAATCCTGCCTCTGAGTCTGTGAGTTCTGCATCTTGGGCTAGCAAACCAACCACGTATCATGACAGAACGATCCGGCCAACAAGCTAGCCCAGCAGACTCCATCCACGCTCACCTGGTGGGGCCCGCTCGGCGCAGTCTGCTGCCTCCCAAGTGGGAGGCGCAGCTGCAACACTACCATGAGTTATTGGCCTCCTTAGCCCCTGAGCCCGCTTCGTGCCTTCCAGAGACCCCTGAGCAGCTCTTAAGGAGGCGGATGCACCGGAGTTTAGGGAATTACCTTCGAGAGGTGGAGACGGAGCTGAGACGAGTCGACGAGGAGTGGATTCGTTTTGTGCAGGAGATGAGGGGGCGTCTAGGGATCCCTGCTCCTGATTCGAAGCCGCAATGGGCGGTCTCCTCAGTCCCTGATTCGGAACCGCGACCGGCAGCCACCTGTCTACCTGTGGAGCCACAATCGATGGTCTCCCCAGCTTCTGGGGTGGAGCCGCAATGGGCGGCTTCCTCTGTTCCTGACCGGGTGCCGCAATCGACGGGCTCCCCTGTTCCTGACCGGGAGCCGCAATCAGCAGGCTCCACTGTTCCTGACCGGGGGCCGCAACCAGTGGGCTCCCCTGTTCCTGATGCGAAGCCGCAATCGGCGGGCTTCCCTGTTCCTGACCGGGAGCCGCAACCAGCGGGCTCCCCTGTTTCTGAAGTGAAGCCGCAATGGGCGGCCTCTTCTGTTCCTGATCCGGAGCCGCAATCTGCAGCCTCCTGTGTTCCTGTGGAGCCGCGGTCGGTGGTCTCCCCGGCTCCTGGGGTGGAGCTGCAGTCGGTGGTTTCCTCTGAGCCTCCTCCTGAGCTACAGTCGACGGCTTCCTCTGAGCCTCCTCCTGAGCTACAGTCGACGGCTTCCTCTGAGCCTCCTCCTGAGCTACAGTCGACGGCTTCCTCTGAGCCTCCTCCTGAGCTACAGCCGACGGCTTCCTCTGAGCCTCCTCCTGAGCCACAGTCGTCGGTTGCTGCAGAGCCTGTTGCTGTGTCGCGGAAGCAGAGACGGCGACCTCTTCGGAGCTTCCCGCAGCAGAGACGGCGTCTTCCTCGTTGCTCCCCGCAGCAGCTGAGTCGGCTTCCTCCTCGGCGCTTCCCGCAGCAGCAGAGTCGGCTTCCTCCTCGGCGCTTCCCGCAGCAGCAGAGACGGCGTCTTCCTCGTTGCTCCCCGCAGCAGCTGAGTCGGCTTCCTCCTCGGCGCTTCCCGCAGCAGCAGAGTCGGCTTCCTCCTCGGCGCTTCCCGCAGCAGCAGAGTCGGCGTCTTCCTCGTTGCTCCCCGCAGCAGCAGAGTCGGCGTCTTCCTCGTTGCTCCCCGCAGCAGCTGAGTCGGCGTCTTCCTCGTTGCTCCCCGCAGCAGCTGAGTCGGCTTCCTCCTCGGCGCTTCCCGCAGCAGCAGAGTCGGCTTCCTCCTCGGCGCTTCCCGCAGCAGCAGAGTCGGCTTCCTCCTCGGCGCTTCCCGCAGCAGCTGAGTCGGCGTCCTTCTCCGCGCTTCCTGCTGCAGCAGAGAAGGCGTCCTCCTCCATGGCCCCTGCAGCTTCTGAGACGCCGGCCATACGGCCGGCCACCTGAGACTCTGTCCTGCTGCCGGTCACACGGCCGGCCACCTGAGACTCTGTCCTGCTGCCGGTCCCTCGGCCGGCCACCTGAGACTCTGCCTTTCCGCCGGCCCCACGGCCGGCCACCAGAGACTAAGCCTTGCTACCCGGCCCCACGGTCGGTCCTCTGAGAATTTTCCTGTCCTCACCCACCCCGGGTGGGTTGTTTTGATTTTTGGACTCTGTTCTGTTTTCGTGTCTGGCCCTTCATGCCTGTTTCCCCCCTCTGTTTCGCCCTAGGTGGGTTGTTTTTGTTTCTGTTTTTTTGTTTTTGGGCGTCTGGTATCCGCCCTTGAGGGGGGGGGTACTGTTGGGATCCAAAGGTTTGCCCTCCAGAGGGCTGTTTGGATCCCTTCCTGAGGGCTTCTTTTCCTGTTGGGATCCAGAGGTTGCCCACCAGAGGGCGCTGTGGATCCTCCTGGGAGCTGGTTTTCAGCACTCAGCTGATTCCAATCAGCTCTGCTGATTAACCCCTCACTATATAAACTGTTTGAAAGCTTCACTCTGAGCCGGATCGTGGTCATTGTCCTTGTCCTTGCCATGGAAGCATTCCAGAGTCTCTTGCCTGTTTAAACCTGCCTATCTGAGTCTGCAAACCTGTGAGTTTCAGTTTGTTTATTTTTCCCTGAGTTTAACCTGTGCTCTGTCTCCTCTGCCTTCCAGGGCAGAACCCTGTGCCAGACATGGGCAATATGGAGTCAACAAG